ACGCTCACCACCCACCCGGCTCGCTCGTATTTTGTCTTCCTAAAAGCATTTATTTCGGAGGGGGGGGGGAAGTGCCACTCTGTTTTTGCAACAGCCCAAAAGCCTCCCAAAGAAACAAACAAGAAGGGGAAAGAGAGAGAGAGAGAGAGAGAGAGAGAGAGAGAAGAACCCTCACAAAAAACCCGCTGGAAACGAGGGAGACGCGAACAATTGAAAACTACCTAAAAGCTCGGGGAGAGGTTTATTTTATTAGTTCTTAATAAATATCTTGCAGATTTCCTGCAGGAAATACACCAGATCACATGTAGAATAGTTAGATACTGATGTCAACGGCATGGCCAGATGAAACCTATTAGGGGCGAAGCCACAGCAGGGCGATCCGCGCGCAAAAAAAAGGCTGCGCAGCACCAAGGCGAAAGGGAGCCATTAGGTCCTCCAGCGTTTGGAATAAGCTAGACTGCTTTCTTGTTTTCTTGTGTGGGAGTTTCTTTTACCTAGTGCATATTTTACTTGCTACTTCCTTATTCTGTATTTCAGGTTATTGCAATTAATAGATTTCCTGATTTAAAAGCATTTTCTCATCTTGTAATTTGGTTTTGATGTCTCTTACTCTTGAATAAAAATAATGGGGTGTAATTTCAGTGTATAGTTGGGAAAGTATGTACAGTCAGGGGCCAAAAATATTGGCACCCTTGCAATTCTGTCAGAAAATGCAACCCTTCTCAGAAAATTGTTGCAGTTGCAAATGTTTTGGTACTCACATGTTCATTTCTTTGGTTTGCTTTGGAACAAAAACAAACAAACAAACAAACAAACAAAAACAGAGAGGAAAAGCCAAATCTGATGCAATCCCACACAGAAACCCCAAAATGCACTGGTCCAAATTATTGGCACCCTGTCTAAATTGTAGGAAATAATTGCTTTTCAAGCATGTGATGCTCCTATAATTTGTATTTATTTTTAAAAACATTTTATTAGTTTTTCACTCTATCTACATTTGATTTGTGCTTGTCAAACATCGTGTTACATGATTTGCGTACAATTATTTGATTTTTACACCTCAGTGGGGGGGGCGGGGGGGGCAGAGCACAGACCACCACTCCCAGCATCCCCAAAGCAGCCTCTTCCTCCCCGTCCCTCCTCCTCCTCCTTTCCCCCTGCGGTGCCAGGCCTTTCTAGGAGGGGCAGTCTCATCCTGATGGCTTTTCGTACATCGGCCGTGTGGAAAAAAATCTGTCCGGGGTGGTGGCCACGGAAGAAAATAAGTACAGTGGTGCCTCGCTTGATTGCTTCGTACAACGAAAAATTCACTTAACGATGGCTTTTTCGGAGCAATCTTGTGCTTCACTTAACGTTTTTCCCTATGGGCGATTTTCGCTTAATGATTTCGGGACCATGCTTCGCTTAACGCTGACAGTTTTTGGTCCCCTTGTTTCGCTTAACTTTTTTTTACAGCCCCGTTTTTGCTATTTTTAAAATATTCGAAAATGTTTAAAAAATATTTAAAATGCTTGGAATCGTTAGTGCACCTAATAAAACCTTCGTTAACTTAATTTGGCTTTGTTCTGAGTCTTTTTGAATTTTTTGTGAATTTTTTCCCCCATTGAAATAGGCTTCAATGCATTTCAATGGGTTTCGCTTAACATTTTTTCCTATGGGGATTTTCGCTTAAGGATGGTAATCCGTTCCAATTGGAACGGATTATCTGGTTTTCAATGCATCTCTATGGGAAATGGTGTTTCGCTTAACAATGTTTTCACATAGCGATTTTTTTTTTGAACCAATTAAAATCGTTAAGCGAGGCACCACTGTAAAACGACTGCCACAGCCGCTGAGGCATGGACAGCCCCACCTTCCCCCGCCCCCCCCGGGCCAGGTCAGGGTCTCGCTCTGAATCCCACCTCCTGGGGAGCCCAGATGGAGGGGAGACAGAGAGCGCCCCCTACTCCCCGCCTGGCAGGAGGGTTTCTGGGAGGCCTCCGACTGGCTGCGGAGAAAAACCTTCTGTGCCGCCCTGCTTTGGGCCGGCGCGCATCGCTTTGGGGGGGGGGAGACGGCCCTTTTGGGACCTCCTTTGCTTTCAGCAGAAAGGCGGGCAAGGGTGGGAAGGCAGAGGGGCTTCAGAGCCTTGGGTACGGCTAGCCCAGGCCCCCTCCCTCAGGGTGACCAACCATGCTGGGGAGGGGTACGTGTCAAAGTTAGAGACCCCCTGCCCGTGAGCGGTGGCAAAATAAAACCCTAGTCCTCATGGTTCCGGAGAAAGGCTTGCGTTATAAAGGAAGGCAGCCTTTAGAGGAGCAGAACGGTCTCCCCTGGCTGGAAACGGGGCCTCTCGGGCTTTCGGAGAAGGGCGCTCGGTTCCTTGCCCGTCCCAGAGAGCAGGGGGGGGGTTTCCAACGGGTGGCCTCCCACTGGCAAAGCCTTTCCTTCCTTCCTTGAAAGCTCTCTTCCTCCCCCCCCACCCCATCCTCCACACAAGCCTTCGGTGCCCGAGGGAAAGGCCCAGGGGGGCACCCTTTTCCCCATCACAAGCCAGGCTCAGATCTCGCCAAGGATGATCGGAGGGCGCCCAGGATTGTCCGCACGGATCCAGAGCAACTGCCCTACCACTTCAGGCACAGAGAAGGGCCCTTCTCACTGCCGGCGACTCAGAAACAACCTTTCACGGGAGGCGGGAGGGCCCCTGGGTTAACAGACCTCTTCCCCTGGGGGCTGCGAGGACCCCCTTCTTTCCAAAGGAGCTCCTCGGGGGGGGGTTCTGCGCGGGCAGGCCAAGGGCCATCTGGCAGGGCTCGAAGACGCGGGGCCAGTTCAAAGGCCACTCACTCCACGGTTAAAAGCTATTTCCATCACTCAAGTGAGGGATCAACGTGGTGGACCCACAGACACCTGACCCTCAGCACCTCCGATCCTGCACCCCTTTAGGGGCCAAACCGTCCCCTTTCTGGGACAGAGAGGTGTGGACGGAAGTGCAGACGGAAAACCAGCAGGGGCCACTTCCTTGCAGATGTTACTGTTTCTGTTCCCAGAAGCCGGAGGTTTCAGGCTTACCTGCGTGAGGGACTAATTTTACAAGGCCACGAACCCCAGAGAGCAGCCAAACCCGCGGCTATTTTTACTGACAGCTGAGAGAACCAGAAACCCACCTTGAAGAGCCTTCCGGCCCTCAGACGTGCTGCGTGGTTAGTCTAAGGGTGCAGGCAGGTTTCCCGTCCTCATGGAGGAACTCCCTCCCTCCCTGCCTTCTCTCCACGGAAGACTAGAAGGCCGACGCAGAGCAGCGCCCACCACTGGGAAGAGGGGCAAAGGTGGGGGGGAAGGAGGAAGGGGCAGCAAGACAGGGAGAAGCGATCTCGGCGGTGGCCTCTGAACATCCTACAGTGATTTATAGGAACTATAATCCAATAATATTGCAAAACGGAACAGTGTGTCTGAGATGCGTTTGATTCCAGAAATTATAAAACAAATCATTAGAGCGAGCGAGAGAGGAAAGCCCCACAGAGTCCAGATTTGAATAAATTGGGCACAGATGGGAGGGGGAATTTCGCCTCCCCGGCGGAGGTGCCGCAGCTACAAAGCACGGCTCCAATTAGCTGGCTTGTAAAGCCAATTGCAAAACGGAACAGTGTGTCTGAGATGCGTTTGATTCCAGAAATTATAAAACAAATCATTAGAGCGAGCGAGAGAGGAAAGCCCCACAGAGTCCAGATTTGAATAAATTGGGCACAGATGGGAGGGGGAATTTCGCCTCCCCGGCGGAGGTGCCGCAGCTACAAAGCACGGCTCCAATTAGCTGGCTTGTAAAGCCAAGGAGTCTTCCACCACCCCATGCAACACAGAAAACATTCCTAACACTTCCGTGGCCAGGATGAAGGGGACACCCTTGGCTCTGCCCGGTGGAGGTGCGGATGGCGAGCCCCCCCACACCAGCCCCCCCCCAAGGGCAGGGCTGCACACAGGCAGCTTTAGAGATGGTGTGGGGGTGGGTGGTGCCCTCTGCTGCTGCCACCGCTGCCACCCCTTGGGGGGGGAACCCGGACGCAGCCAAGAAGCAGAGCTCCTGTGGGAGGGTGGGAGGCTTTGCCCCGCCCCCCCCCAAAAAACCCTGAAGAACGCAAGAGGGCATCTAGGCAAATCCCCTGCTCTTCCCCCCACACACACACACACAGACACACACTTCTTAGGGAGGAGGGGGAAGGGGCTGGACCTGCAAGGGCCCAGGAATCAGGCAAGCCTCTCCCTTCTGTGGCTCTCCTGGGTCAGAGATCCAGAGGTTAAGGAGACACAGACCGGCTGCTAGGAAGGCAAAGGAGGGCAGGACACCCTGAGAGAAAAGCTCCCGGGATGCGACTCCATGACCCCCTCGCGACCCCCCCCTCCCAACCATCCCATGTCCTACGTGCATCAGGGCCTTCAAAAGAGTGACTACCCCCCCATCGAAGGGCTTC